AGAGCTAGGTAGGGGAACCAAAGGGGCAGCAAATGGGGGAATGAACCTCAATTTATGGAGTGTATTTGGTGTCAGATGAGTTCTGTTTTGAGTCATGTTTTTTTTTAGTCACAGTCCATGCAATCAGCTTTCAAAAGCCTCAGGACAAGATTCAAAGCAAACTCAAGCTTCATCATGAGATGAACATTTTCAACCGGAGGAGAATTGATGTAGGCAAGCTTTGGGTTGCTTGTTGTCTCTTGATTTGGGCCTTGGCTGCTCTCAGGTTGGGCTTTGGCTGCACTGGTTTTGAGCTGAAATCTAGGGGTCTTCATGGTGCTAGCTCATTAATATGAAAAGATTCCTTCCCTGGCTGTTTCCCGTGGCTGCCTCTTCCCCTTCTTGTGTCTCCTCGATTTTCTTTACCCTGAATATTGCATTTTTTTCAAAAATTGTGTCAATTTACTAATTTTTAATATGATGCGTGATTACTTGCATGTATACATGAATGCATAAATACACAAATATTGGGTCACCGACTAGCGGTGAGGTGGAGTTTTGATGCAAGTAAAAATTTGGGAGAAAGCCCCAAATTTTTGCAAGCAAAAACAAAAGCTTCCTAGATAAATAGAAAATTATATAAAATACTCAAAACTAGACAAAATACGATAAATTTTAACTTTTATAAGATAAAAGACTGAGAGCTAGGTGGGGGAACCAAAGGGGAAGCAAATGGAGGAATGAATCTCAATTTAAGGAGGGACTAAAAAGGCTCTCTACAAGACATTAATGAGCTGATTCTAGTAGAGGACCTAGAATCTCTCAAAATTTATAATTCAAAATATTTTGACCCCCCATTTGCCTACGTCAATTCTCTTCCGGTTGAAATTACTCATCTCCCGATGAGATGTCTTCAAAATTTTGGATATCCGATATTTCAGAACCTCTCGATTCCACAAACTCACCTGACACTCACATACATGACACCAAGACCTATGATATACTAACTTGCTCTAATACCAAATTGATGCAAGCAAAAATTAGGACAACCCCCTAATTTTTGCAAGCAAAATAAGACTCTTCTTAGGACAATAAGAAGAATACAAAGACACAAAAACAACAACTTTATAACATATAAAAAAAGCACTTACAACTTCCTAAAATTACTTTCATCAACTCTTGACGTTTACAAGCCTAAGAAATAAAAACAAACACCTAAAGTTGCAATTCCATCGTTTGAGAAGAATGATACAAGTGGAGTCGAACTTGCGGATAGAATAAGGAGATAAGAAGCTGAGACGAAGAAGGCATAACTCAGCAAGTTATCCTAGAAGAAGGAGAAGGGGATACATAGCTCACAAGCTATCAAAACCCACATGTTTTCTTCCAAAAATTATCACCATAAACTCTCTTTTCTTTACCCAAACACCTTATATTTAGCGGAGAAATGGGGCAGCCAAATAGCCCAAAACAGCACTTGAAAAATCACCAAAAAGGGGCAGCATTCACTCCAAAAACAGCAACCTAACAGCCACAGAAATTATGGGTAAAAGCAGCCACGGGAAAGGAGCAGGCACCCAGGAAATCGGGACAGATCAGAGGAAACAGAACAGCCCACGGGAAGGAGCAGGGAACAGCAACGGGAAACAGCAACCAGGGAGGAAACCGAAGGCGCTGCATAGGAACCGGACCAGAAGCCAAACATGGAACTGGAACAGCAGCTAGGGGATCGGAACAGACAATAAAAGGAGGAGGAATCAGCCATGGGAAGGAGAGCTAGGTGGGGAAACCAAAGGGGCAGCAAATGGGGGGAATGAACCTCAATTTATGAGCTAAAAAGACTCTCTACTAGAAATTAATGAGCTGATTCTATTAGAAGACCTATAAGCTCTCCAAATTTATAATTCAAAATGTTTTGACCCCCCCATTTACCTACATCAGATATTCTGCTCAACAACCTAGTGTTGTGGGATTTGGCAAAAAAGCAGCGCACATAGGGATCAAATTTCAAAGGGATCATAGTTGTTGATCATAAACATCCGATTGGAAGAAGATTTGAGCCCAAATTAAGCCAGATTTGAATCGATTTGGGCCTGATTTAATTTGATCAACTCAATATTATGAAATTGGACTCGAATTGAAGCATATATGATTTAATTTGAATTCAATTGAGCTTAATTGGCCTCAATTTGGGTCCAAGTTGAGTTGATTTGAGTTTGACGGAGCTCAAATAAGTTAATCGGATTCAATCAAAACCCAATGGGTCTGATTAAACTCAATCGGAGTCATCGACACGAGAATTATGTCAAAACGTGACAATTTGTCGAGGGTGACAAATTTAAGATAACCTCGACTCACGAAGAGTAAATGTCATATAAAGCATATAACTATAATCATTGTCAATAGATTTCGCTCCAATAAAGATGTGGCATTTGTCCTCTAATAAGATGATTTTGATGCCAAATAGCAACACTAAATAATAGTTATAAAAAGAGAACTTTGATAGAGTAGTTCTGTCGAAAAATGGCAACATTAAATAATTAATTAAGCGAAAGCCAAATTGACCCCAATGACTTAAATCTCAAAGTGATGAATCATAGAGGACACTTGATACAATACAAAGCTCTATATTAGTTAAGGATGGCTTGAAAGTGTCCTCACAGATAAACAGCCACCACGTCTACAAAATTCTCTTAAACAATGCAACCAATTGCATCTGCCAAGGACTAATCGATCAAGTTAGGTCAACTGCCTTTGCTAGTTAAGTAGACTCAAGTTCATGACAAAAAGAGATGTGGGGATCATGGGAACTTAATTGGGTTCATTATCATTTCCGCCATCATCCATTTTAAACTAATGGTGGTATGTTTTCATCTATTCAATAGCAAAATCAAATAGTTACAAACATAAGCTAAGTGTTTAGTGTTTAAAAACTAGCTTTAATTGAAAGTTTTCTCCATCACTAAGTGGGTAGTTAACATTAAGGCTTGCGCCAATGAGAAATCGAGAACAAAATCTTAGAATAGCTGAATCCAATCTGTTTTATGAAAATTTACCAAAATCTTCTATGGTTTTATATATCTATTCCAAAACTAATTAGATAATGGGACCAGCCACAATAAAGGAAAAAACCAATCAAGCTATGTTATGATCATGAGGAATTACTCATAAATCCCTGAAATTAAAAAAAATGACTGGTTACTTTCATATGAAAATCATTCTAATTAAAAAAAATCATTAAAGCATGATTGAGCAATCTTTAAAATAATGTCAAAGACATACCCTTCCACATTAACATTAGAGAATTTTTGGGGCTATTAGGTTTGATGACAAGTGTTAAGTATTTCAAATGTAGCATTTTTCGAATTTTGATATTGGTTTGATGAAAAAAAAAACAGAGTTAGATTTTAGTGAATTCCAAATTCACTACCGTCAATCAGAATCGTCGACGGCCCACTACTATTGTTGAGCTTTAAACTACATTCATTTGACTTTCAAAACAAATAATAAAAGTAATCACCTCCATTTGTTTTACATTCATCCAAATAACTCTAAATATTTAAATATATTGCATTTTTTTACATTGTATTTCAATTTACTCTACATTTTGTTTTCAGCAAAACAAACAACCCCTTGGTGTAAACTGTAAAGTTGAGCAAGGAAAATGTGATCTCTGTTGTCAAACCCCAACAGTTTCTTCCTGCTTTGAATAGTATTGTAATGGTATGTAACTTTATTTTCCTAATTTTTTCAAACCATCATTTACAGTTTTTGATGCGGGCATCGGCACGAAAATCTGGCGCATCTATCACAGGAGGCGTCCCCGAGCATCTCCTCCTACCCGTTCTACATCAGTTTTACATATATTACAAAACAATTTTTATAATGGAAAATGGAACAAACCATAAATACAGGCAAAAAACAATTCAAGCTATGTTATGTTCATGGGAAATTACCAATAAGTTCACAAATTTTTCCCAAGATCCCCACCCCACAAACACAGAAAATAATTACATAATTCAATCACTCCAAATCTGTGGAAATGCCCAAACTAACACAAGAACTCATATCCCACTGCGCTCAAAAGAACAATTTCCATAAACATCCAGCCTATTATAATAAATTACTTCACCAAGATGCTGATGGACTTGCTTGCTCATAAAATGCAAAGTTTCATTGACAAATCCAACATGCAAGCTTCGTAACTAGCCATTTTTTAACCAGAGCTCCACCATCCCAACCCTGCCAAACAGCAATAATCCAAAAATCTTTTCGTTGAAAGAACTAATCACAATAGTTAGGAGAAAAGTGCCCAACTTTTCATGAAATGATAAGAAGAAAACCAAGTCTTATTAAAACATTTCAAAGTGCTTTTACTTCAGGGCTACATTTTTTCATTGCATCGTATATTTTAGTGCGGTGTACCCATGTAGCTTGGTTACATGCTTCATAAACTAAACCTCAATTGAGTACTTTTAGTCCTTTTAGTCCTTTTTACCTTTTATTAAGCAGCAAGAACAAAGTATATTTATTCAGTGAGTACATATGCAAAACTCAGCATGTTAATTGAAGTATGACAGCAGACAAGAGCGAGGGCCAAAAGTATTTTGAAAAACTCAGTTTATTCATGAATTACCATAGTAACACAGTAAGTCCTTATATTGAAAGGTCCCCCGAGGAAAACTATTTTAATATCTCTCATTAACAAGTGAGAAAACAATGAAGCAAATGACATCTAAATTCTTCTTAACTCCAACTAATTAAATAATTCATAAGAATAAATCATCAAACAAATGAAATTTGGCCGTAAATGACACTCAAAGTAAATTCAAAGAAGCTCTGGACAGCCCCATTACCATGTTTTGTAGAGAATCTTTTTGGGCTTCTGAGACCATTTGAAAGAACAAAAACGTACAAAAATGCATGAAAGAATTATCGTTGAATGGAAAGTTTAACTGTCCCTTCAAAATAAAACTGATTTACAAAACGGCAATTCAAAGAAAAAATAAAAGGAGACCAACCTTGAGCATTTCCATTTCTTCTTTGGTTGGACAAAACTTGATGAGATTTTCAACTTGATCAATATCCAAAGCCGTAGTATCCAAAGCTAAAACAGCATTCTGCAGATCAAAATAAAGCACGTATAACAAATTTACCTCTAACCATTCAATATCCCAAAACACAGGTTTTGCATATGCTTAAACGCAGCAAACTCAAACCAATAGTTTTCACAGTCCACACAAATAAGCAAATATGAAAATCAAACATAATAGTTCCCTCGTCTTCTCTGTACAATATTAGATGAACTTCAGTGTATAATCTAAAAAAAGTAACATTTCTAACAATAACAAGAAAGTAAAAGTAAAAGTCCCTCCATTTGTTAACTGTTTCCAAATTTAAATCAACGATCCTGCGGTTGAAGTTTCTCAAAATCAGTCAGTCTTTTAGAATAAAAAACTCCCTGAAGAGATGCTTTTCGATGTAAATAACATAATTGGTAATAAGATCAAAAACATAATCTGAATCTGATCTATTTACATAAAGTATGTACATATCTAGCCAGCTCCATCAGAGAGATCCGCAACAGGGTTCTAATCAACCTGCACTGGGTCAATGTGTTGTGTCCTGAAAACTAAAGTCACCCTCTTGTTTGGATGGAAAACCTGGACACTTGCTAGGAATAAAATTTTGATTAAGAAAATTTTCTTCAGCAAAAGCAGAAAAAAAAATGTGGCGTAGAAATACTTTTTGAAAAAACTATTATGGAAAAAGCAGAAAAGCATATGCCATACCAAATGAAGCCTTGACAAGAAGGGAAATATCTCAAAGGAAAAAGGTGCAAAAAGAAACGTAGACCACAAATCAGTGAAGTCTCATACGTACTAAAAGTAATATCACATGAAAATTAAAATCATCACACATTACAAATTTGCCAAAGCTAAAAACATTCTTTCAGAAGATACCGTTAAAGCCAACTTTCCATTCAGAAATCAATGGGTAAATTGAATAAATCCAGAAAAAAATGTCTGCTTTACATATTTTATATAAAAACTTGATAAGGGGAATGGCAATGAATAGAATGTTCAGCACACTTTGGTGATAATTGATATACAGGGGTAAGGGTGTCTCACCCAAACACAATTATACTGCGTGAACATCACATTGACTGATTTAAGATATTACATCGATGTCTCAAAAATCTTAGGTTAAGGGAATGCACTTTCTTCTCTTAGCCTAAAAATATCTAGAAGTTCGATACAGACTTCTTAGGTTACATGTAATGTAAAGTAAAATGTAGCAATAACGGCAACAAAGTCACTGAGACAAAGAAAAGGAGAAAAACGTGAAGGGAAACTCAGTGCTTAACTTGGAGCGATCCAAATACAGACTTTGAATAAAGAGGAAGGAGAAATCAGTCAGGAAACAGTAACCTTATCTTTATTAGATTTAAACTTATAAAAAAAGAAATAAGGAAAATTTTAACCTAAATTGATTGGGATTCTAAAAGGCCATGAAGATAGTCAAATTCAAATCAGTGTTAGCTGATTTGGCTAAATAATCAATTAACATGAATGATATTACATCAACTCCCTATCGTGCAAATGACCGAACCTATCTCCGCGTTCGGACGCCAATAGAAAGCGGACATCTGGCTGAATACAAGTGCGATTTTTTAATATAATATTTTTGCTTTATGTCTTGTCAGCCCGAACGACCCGACCCAGTAACCCGGCGATGATTTGAATTCAACACTACAAGAATGGAAACGAAGCATTTTTACTATTCACTCGACATTTCTACTTCTCTGTCACTCTCGGCTCTCTGCTCTCGGACTTCTACGATACCTTCCATGCTACAATACCTTCTTCCCGCCGGCGGTAGACGATGACATAGGAGAAATACTTTAGCAATTAGAAAAGGTAATGTTGCGCCTTGGTTGCGCATGACGTGCGCTTTTGGTTGCGCTTCAGTTCTGTTATATTTTAAATTTTAGGGTTTTGTTAATGTTTTACATAGCAGTGTTTGTTCAATGTGATCTTAAAATGTTATTGTATGGATCTTAAATGAAAGAAACAAATGATGCGAAACAAAATTTTTAACTTGCGCTTTACTAAAATTCTTTTTTTTTCCAGATGTCGTATCAAAAGCCAGTTACTTCTCGATGTTATGTTACAACTTTCAGAAAAACTTGTGATGCTTTTGTAGAGATAACCGATGAAGAACTTGAGCAGACTTTAAAGAATTTGAACATTTATCAGTTTCAAAAGTTTCCAGCATTCCAACAGTGTATACCACTTCTTTTTGAGATTCTAAAATTTGGAGTTCTGCTGATGAAGGCTTCATTGTCAATGTCCACTTAAATTTACTTCAGACGATGTTGCTTTGTTGATAGATATGATTTTGAATAAGGAATTATGAATATGTTTTTTTACTTTAAATGTAAATGTAACATGTACAAAAATTTCTGACAGGTATGCCTAACAAAGGTGAAGATATCAAATGGAGGATTGATCCCCTAATTGGACCTCTAACAACTAAAATAAAAATTGAAATGTCAAAATTAGATAGATTGACTGATAATGCTACGAAGTTAAACACATTTATAATGTATTTGTTATCTAATCTTTTTTTTTCCACTAAACAACCATAAAACACCTAGAAGGCTCACATCTATAACAAATAATGTAAATGAGTTCACTTCCATCAATTGGGATTCATGTATGAGGAATTTCATGGTCGACGAATTCCATACAACTTCTAACAAGTTTAAAATGCAAAGACCATTGAGTTACATCAATGATTTTTTCCCTCTCCTACTGGTAAGTTTCAATTCATATGTTTTCCTCTCATAAAACTTTTTAATTGTAATTTATAATGTTTTATGTTTGGTATTATACATATTTGATTTCTGTAACACTTTTCCTTGATTAAACCATCAGATCCAGAACTAAGACCGCGTTTTTTGAGATGGGAGGGGAACACTGGATTATTCTATACAAAAGAAATGGCTATCAAATTATTTAAATTTTTAAGGAAAAATAAGGTAATTTCTAAAATAATTTATTTTTTAGAGTTGCTCTTTAAGTGCGCTTTAATTGCGCTATAGCGCAAGTATAGCTCAAGTATAGCGCAAGTATAGCGCAACAACCAGACATTTGATATATTTAAATTTGTTGCAGATTTATCCTGTTTTATAAAATGTTACAGAAGAAGAAGCTGAAAAATAGAGGGCTGACATAAATGCGATACAAAACTTGAAAATCCGGCCTGAGCACCATCCCCACAAAATTCAATCACCACAATGAAAGAAAATTCACACCACCCACCTCCCTCTCCTCAATCTCCTCATCAAGAACCACCTGAAAGTTCATCTCACAAAATTCAACCACTTAAAAGATTCACCCCACAAAGATCATCTCAACAACCTTCTGCTGAACAAACACATTTTGTAAAAAATGAAGATTTGTTGGCTGTTCAGAAAAAACTGCTGGAAGGATTTCAAAACATGTTTAACAAAATTGAACAGAATTTTGGTGGTAGACTTGATCGACTTAAACATAATATGGAAAAACTTCAAGTAGATGTAGATTCTATTAAGTACAAATTCATTGACTTTCAAATGAATTGTGGTCATAATCCTGAAAAACTATCTATATCTACATCTTACTCCAGCATCCAATCAGTAAAAAAAGATGTTCAACCTCCAATACCATTCAAAAAAGATGTTCTTCCACCACGACCCAAAGAAGATATTCTTCCACCACCACCTAAAGAAGATGTTCTTCCACCACCACCTAAAATAGATATTCCTTCACCAGCCACAACAGATGTTCCACCACCACCAGCAAATACAGATGTTCTTCAACCAATAGAGAGTTCTTCAAAGCACCTCATTCAATACCAACCATAAAAAAGAAAAAGAGAAGACAATAAAGAAACTGAAATAACATATGTATTAATGAAGAACCAAGAGGTTATTTATGTTAATAATGTAAAAATGAGTCTCGAACTGACATAAATGCGATACAAAACTTGAAAATCCGGCCTGAGCACCATCCCCACAAAATTCAATCACCACAACGAAAGAAAATTCACACCACCCACCTCCCTCTCCTCATCAAGAACCACCTGAAAGTTCATCTCACAAAATTCAACCACCTAAAAGATTCACCCCACAAAGCTCATCTCAACAACCTTCTACTGAACAACCACATTTTGTAAAAAATGAAGATTTGTTGGCGGTTCAGAAAAAACTGCTGGAAGGATTTCAAAACATGTTTAACAAAATTGTACAGAATTTTGGTGGTAGACTTGATCGACTTAAAGATAATATGGAAAAACTTCAAGCAGATGTAGATTTTATGAAGTACAAATTCATTAACTTTCAAATGAATTGTGGTCATAATCCTGAAAAACTGTTTATATCTACATCTTACTCCAGCATTCAATCAGTAAAGAAAGATGTTCAACCTCCAATACCATTCAAAAAAGATGTTCTTCCACCACGACCCAAAGAAGATGTTCTTCCACCACCACCTAAAGAAGATGTTCTTCCACCACCACCTAAAATAAATGTTCATCCACCAGCCACAACAGATGTTCCACCACCACCAGCAAATACAGATGTTCTTCAACCAATAAAGAGTTCTTCAAAGCACCTCATTCAATACCAACCACAAAAAAGAAAAAGAGAAGACAATAAAGAAATTGAAATAACATATGTATTAATGAAGAACCAAGAGGTTATTTATGTTAATAATGTAAAAATTGAGTCTCGAACTGCACTGCAATATATGGATTCCAGGCAAGGTTTTCCAAACAGATGAGCAACAAAATTTCATGAATGAATGTTTCAAAAAGTTTGATAAAAAGTAAGTTAAGCCTTTTTAAGTGCGCTTTACATTTTTTAAGTGTGCTTTATTTGCACTTTAAGTAGTTTTTCATTTTCTTTTTTTGTAGGGACGACGTTATATTTACATCTGGTAACATAGAAATAAAAAGAGCAGATATTAACGATCTGCTCACAGATCAAGGGTTAGCCGACAACCATGTAGATGCTTTTGCTTATTTTTTATTAGAGAAGTTTAGAGTAATGACAGACAAATTTCAACATTACTTG